CAGTAGCATAGACCAATAGGCGCCTTTTGAATCACACACTCACCACCCATGCACAAACAGTCATATGCACGGAAACACACACGCGCTCTCACACTCGGCTCTCACGAGAAAATGACTAATCATGATCACATGAAAATCTGGCAGATCTAAAAAGAAAGAACCGAGAGAGGTTACATATGTAATTTACAATATGTCACGTCGCTTCTCTGTAGCTGTAAACATCAGCAAAGTAAAGGGAGGACTGCCAGTCACACACACAGGGAACATGGACATCTAGACTGTAAACATTTCAATATACAGACACACACAGCACTGTCCCAGTCAGCCTTCTACAGTGACCTTTCACGCTGTCTCACACACACACACACACAGACTAGGCTTCAGCAAAGCTATGTTGTCACGGTTCCAAGCTCACACACACCCCACACACACACACACACACACACACACACATAGTGTACATACACATACCGGTGAAGCCTGACACTGGGGCATCCCAAACACACACACAGTAGGAGCGTAAACTACATTGCTGGCCCCTTCCTCCTGCTCAATCGGAACTGAGCATGCTCAGACTGCTCCTCTCCACCCCCAGTCCATCGTTAGATGACCCCCCTCCATGCTGTACATACAAGACAAGCTGACATCCCAGTTTATGTGTTTGTTTTTTTTTAACCCTCCATCCCTCCCTGCCTGCCCAGATGCGCAAAAATCTAAGAAGCATTTTGGGGACTGTCTGATTTGATCATAATGAGTCAAATTGGCAAGGATGGGCGCAGAACAGAGGCAAGAACTATAAGAAGAAGCACACCCTTTCTGTTTTGAGAGGACGTCACAAAGTTGGAGTCCTGAGATGAGAAGCCCACCAAATAATGTACAAGTCTGTTTCTCAAAGCAAGCTTCTGCAACTCAACAATCCTTCATTCGTCGTTTTCCTCCTCCTCCCTCTGATCCTCATTGTCTTCCTTGTTTGGCTTTCTTCCTCTTCCCTCCTGCCCCCTTCCCTGCTCTACTTCCTCTCCTCTCCCAAGTTAAGGCCATGGAAGGGCTGGACACCAGTGACTGACAGGCCTGGATCCAGATAGAAGATGGAAGGCCAGTTGCTGGAGGCCTGCGATGACCTGAGCACATCAGGGAAGCAACTGGCCACTTGAGTTAGAGGGGGAGCTGAGGCCGATGAAGCCCTGTAAGGGACTCTGTTAGCCTGGAAAGTGGAAGGGAGGGATGGAAGGGCGCTTGGGCCGGGTTTGTAAGCAGTCTCTTCAGCAGATGTTAAATGGAGCGCTGAGGTGGGAGGGGCCTTTAATGTACGAAGGTTTCACGTTTTTTTTTGGTTCAGTTCACGAGGAATAATTATCTTGGTTAGGATGATAGAATCTGTCAGAATAAGTACGTGTTGATCGCTTTGATTGTTTCATCAGATTTGGTTGCGTCTGTGTCCAGATATCCATGGCAGGACCACGAGATGTCCTGGAGGCACAGAGGAGGAGAGGCGGGCACAGACAAACAGACAGAGGGGGAAAAATGATGCGTGGCTTGTAGTTATATCTGGTTTACAAAGCAACATATTAATAGATGAAAAATGGTTAGATTTAGTCATTTGTGTAATTTAACAGAAACTCTGTATATGAGTATAAGAGTGTACCACAGAAAGAGAGTGTATGGATATATTACTTTTTCAACAAACAAACAAAAAAGACCAAGTTTATCAATGTTGGGTATCTTTAACTCTAATTTTAGTCCGTGTATGTTATTTTTAGACATGCTAGGCTTGGCTCGACGGTAGGGTTACTCAATTATAGCAAAAATCATAATCACGATTATTTTGGTCATAAATGAATCACGAAGTATTGATTGACTCAGGAAACATCATGCATTTATTGAACTTTTAAATTCAATGCTTCATTTTTTTTTAAAGTATGCATTATCCAAAATATCCCTGAAATGGGAAAAAGTAATCAAAGTTTAAACAGCATCGTAGAGCCAAGACTAAGAAAGCACCGCTATGTGTGTGTGTGGACCATGGAGTGGAGCAGAGCAGGTGACAGGTGAAGTATTTGAGTTGACGACACCTCGTTATGTTACAACGCTGAAATTCAGTTCATTCGGGAGATGCAGTTACTTAAACCAATGGAGAGGAAAGTATAAATCCAGTAATACGTTAGAAGACGGGGACACAGAGAATATTTTACAAGCACGAACCAGGTAAAGCAAGGCTTAACACACCTGGTTTAGTATAAGCACAAATTGTTATGTAAATTGCAAAGGGGAGAGGAAAAGTCCGCTAGCCGCTAGGCTAATGTATGAGGTAAAATGCCATAGGCTGAATCTCATAATGGTGACTAGCAACTTGTAGCAGTTTTAACCCCGTCATCTCAGCTTGAGCTGAAGTAAACATCACAGCTGCTGAGAGGGAGTTTGGTCTTTTAGGGGGGGCGCCGCTGTAAAGGAAAGGATGCGCTGGATTTATAACACAAGACAAAACGAGTGTCATTGTGAAACAGCATGCGGTTCAGGGATGATTTTAATTTTTTATTAACTTGCTTTCATAATTGTTGGAAATTTTGATTAATTGCACAGCCCTACTCTGTGGAACTTTGTGTTTGTTGCTAATTCTCAAATGTTAGCATGCTAACACTCTAAACTAAGATGGTGAACATTGCAAACGCACCTTCGTAACATCAGCTTGATCATCATTTTGATTACGAGCGTGTTAGCATACTAACGTTAGCATTTGTCCCAAAGCAGTGCTGTACAGCTTCACAGAGCCGCTAGCATGGCTGTAGACTCTTGTTACAGTATTAAAATGTGCAATTCTCTGTTTTATCTTTTATTGTAGCTAGTTTTATAACCTGGCACAGCTTGGTCTTTGAAAGGTGCTGTACAAATTTAAATTTCTCACCTTCAAAATTGAAACATTAATCTTAAAATTATAAGTCATTATTTCTACAATGAATTTGTATCCAGTCAAATCCATCAAATCCATCATACTAATGGAGGAATACAGTGAATTAACCACATCTTTGTATGCAAAGTCTTATACTTGCAATAATTAGCATTCAGACAGTGGTGTGCATGTGCTGTGTGTCTCACCTTGAAAGAGTATTCATAGTGGGCCTGGTGGTCAGTCAGTCAGAGGGGTGTTCGGGGCAGGATCGATTGATCTCAAACCATGAGTCTATACAGCTGGATACACAGAGACATTAAGTTAGTTTGTCAAAAGACAAGCTGCAAATACAGATGACACTTAGGAAAAACATTTGACTCAGTTGACTCATCAAAGGTCAGTCATCAGGGCTAATAAAAAGTCATAGTCAAAATAATAATAACAGAGGGAATAATAAAATAAAATCAATAGACATTTGATAAAGACATAAGAACTGAATTATACTGTAGTCTTAATTGGTTTCAGTACCACAGAGGATTGTTGCTAAAGTAACACGTAGGCATGTTGGAAGGCCTCCATGCACTCCCACATTAGAACATACACAATAGTGTATACACATGTAATGAGACCAGAGGGAAACATAACAGCAGTGTTACACCACTATATACTGTTGGGTGGTTTTATGTAAAGCAAAAGATCTGATTTTTAAAGCATGTAAAATCTTTATCTGCAAAGTAATTAACTACATAGCTGACTGATATATGGGGTTTAGTAAAAAATGCTATTATATACATCTAAGGTGGGTTGAAATCAAGGACAACTGGACTTGGTTGAAAATACTCAAAGATGTTTCGCCTTTCATCCAAGAGGCTTCTCCAGTTCTGACTTCACAGCAGGGAGGCCCAGCTATTTAACCTCTGTGGGATCGTTATCAAGGTGTTGGATACCCGCTTGATTTGTTAGTTCTCTAACACGGGAGTGTGGCGTCAGAAAACAAACTCAGAGTTGTTGCAAAGTAAACAGCGACATGCACAGTACAGGTGTAGGCAGATGAGTGTTATTTGCACAGTACAGAATATTTTAATAAAAATATGATGTCAAAACCCAGTCAGCAGCATTGTGTTTCTGCTTTGCAAGACCCAATCAGTAGGGCTGTAAATATCGATTATTTTTTAAGTCGATTAATCTAACGACTAATTTGTTTACTCTAAAGAAAGAAAAGTTGCCTATTACTCAGTTAACATAACAATTTATCCAAAATAAATATCAAAAACATGTCTAATCAATAAATCTATATTTTATTCAATCATCCTGATGAAGCACATTGGAATAATGACAATAACAAGCAAATCTTAAAATGAATCAAATTTCCACGTCACTGATGTGTTGTGATAACAACAATAACAGATATTAATTAGGGTACTTCACTTAAAATTTTAAATGTTTCTGACATGGATTCATTTCAATATTAAGTGATGCAGTATGATAATAAAATATATTCCTCATTTCGAGGTACCTAGGATATAATGCTAATGCTAATGTGAATGCAAATTGTAATTGCAGTTACAACTTACCCATCATACATAAGTGAAATTCAATCAGTCTTAACCCGCAACATTACATTGACTGTCAGAAACTTGTAGTTTAGAAAGAAGTACAAAATGTCTCTCTAGAGTTTTGTGAAGTAGAAATATAAAGTCACAGAAAATGTAAAGTAAAATAAAACAGTTCTATGGCTGTGCCTTTTTCAACTGATTTCAACTGTTTTTTGAAACAAGGTATCCTCTAAAAGCCACTTTTGCATTGCAACCCCATAATATTCCGGTTTTATTGTAAAGTGTCTTTGAGTATCTTGAAAAGCGATAAAGAAATAAAATGTATTATAATCATTATTAATACAGGATACTACTGCTAATGTGGTGCAATATAAATCATAACAGACTCAAACATGTGTGGAATCCAGTCAGTCTTTTCCGTAAAGTAACTCTAACTGTTAGATAAGCTGGGTTTAGTAAACAGTACATCATTTCCCTCTGAAATGTGGTGGAATAGTAATATAAAGTAGCCAAGTAAAGTACCTAAAATACAATGGGTGGGATTTTGTTTTCAAAGTTTTCAAAGCAGACAAAGCCATCCAACATGTTTGGAAGAACCTCTGCAAACCTCATTTACATTGGAACCAAGAATATTAATGCTGGCTTTCAAATACTAATTCTAATAAAAACATATCCTCATACATGGGTGCATGATCAATCCATATTACTCTGCAATGTGTAGTAAATTGTAGTAAAAAGTACATTATTTCCCTCTGAAATGTGGTGAAGCAGAAATAAAAATAAAAAGCAGCATAAATGGATGTGACTGTGATTTCAAGGCAAGTATTTTTTAAGCCCAGTGCTTTAGTAATTATACTGCCCATAAACCTGAACTCATAAGCTTACAGTAAACTCATACTTACACAATGAAGCTATGTCTAAATGCACAACACTGTTTAAGTCCTTCAAACATTATTTCTAGTTTGTGTTGACAGATTTGAGCTTAAAGGTACAGAGTGAGCTTAAAGACACGTAAGACGATCACCTAAAATTGGAAACCTCTATTAGAGCTGTCTGGGCTTATGTTAAATATATAAAATATATTAAAGGGAAATTGGCCAAATTGCTTCATGCTAAAAAAAACAAAAACAAAAAACAGGAAGAGGGTGCTATTTATACATAGCAAGCAGGGTTTTCAGGTGATGCATATGAAACAATCTTTTTAGTGTGTTTAGTGTGTGCAGTCTGCTCTCATTTGTTTATGGTAATTATCCAAAGCTGTCACAGTTAATCTGACAGTGATGTATCGATGTTTAGAAATGCTACACGCAGCACCTTCATTCCCAGTGATATAATATGAATAACCCCTAAATCAAAGGCAACAAGTACTGTTCATATTTAAGGAATGTTTTTATTGGAGTGCAGTAAGTGGATTTAATTAGAAGAAGTGCAAAATGATATAACGGGCAGTGATTCAAATCTCTTGGTGTGTGTGTGTGTGTGTGTGTGTGTGTGTGTGTGTGTGTGTGTGTGTGTGTGTGTGTGTGTCACCTTTTGTGGTAGATGCAGAGGCACGGCAGTCTGGCTATGGTGTCCCCTTGCTGCAGTTCCTCTAGACATATCACACACTCACCGGCATCCCTCGCCAACACATCATCTAAAGTGGCAGGCGCACATGCGCGCGCGCACACACACACACACACACACACAGGGCAGAACGTGTATCAGTATTCACCAGACAGCCACAATTTCAGACTCCAACAGAATATCAAACACAGCAGAGAGCAGTAAGGAGAGCAGGTTGGTGCATTACACAAAGTAGATATAGTGGGTAGATTTTGCTAGTATCGATGAAAATGCACAAGGAGTTTCAAGATGAATTAGGAGCCTGGAGTCTGTTTCCACTGTAGAAAAATAACAGCGTCCATCACATGGAAATTCACCACTGGATATTTTTATTTCCAAAAATCTACTTACTGTAATGAATGCAGCCTCTTAAAAGTCTTGAATAGTCTATGTACAGTATAAGGCTATATAAGTATTTAAAATACAGTTTACAGGATAACTATTTATTACATGTTTAACAGTTGAAAACTGAAACAGTTGAAACTCTCTGGGTGTGGTTTAATCAGACTTGACTGACAGTAACCGAACAACCCTCAAACTGTCATCGGACTCAGATTTAAATGTTGTTAAATCCTGATTGGTGCAGAAGTACATGACATCAACCTTTTGTATTTGAGAAAAACAGAAATGCAAAAAAAGTCAACTGACCAAAATTGTTTTAAATTGTTTTAATTCAGAGAGAAAGAAGCTGACTAAGGAAGTGAGTCTTCAGGCCTTTGAACACAGACAGCTTTCAAAATTGCTGCTTTAGGGAAAAGTGGACCATATATATATATATATATATATATATATATATATATATATTGCACTTACATGTACAGCATATCAATAAATCAGTTCACCAGTACACATGCAATATGCCAACCAATGCAGACGTATAACAATAAAAAATACCAAAGTTCTTAAGTTTAGAAAATATATACACCCTACACCTAAAATAGAAATGAAAATATACTAAAGGAACAAATAAATTAATGAAAAGCAAATAAATATTACTTGTGTAACAGACTGCTTGTTAGTTGTAGCTAACTTGGGGGCTAACCTCTGAACCTCTGTGTTACATTCAGCTGCTGGCACCAGAGTGAAAGGCCTGTACAGTTCAATTATTTGCTGTATTTCGGTGGTAGGTGGCATGAAGTGTATGAAGGAACAAATTCATAAACAAACATAACAATATTAAAACTGTTGGTTAGACAGCTATAGGGATGGGTATCGCTACTCGATACCTTTATGGTATCTCCTGAAACAGTAGGCCTACAGTAGCCCAGTTCGAGAAGAATCGATCGTCTCCATTCAAACCAGTACTTCAGTCGATACTTTTTGTAACCAGATCCCAGCAAATAATTACTATTTGTATGGTTTTGCTTGCAGCAAAACACGCAAGCAACACACCGAAAGAAAGAGAAGAGCATGCCTTTTTTCCCTTATGTGCCTGCACATAAACTGTATTAAAAAAGGCCTGCACGCACCGAGTCCACGCTGATTTTAACAGCCGCTCACATGGCTGCGGTCTCAGGCATGTTTGTCACTGTTGCAAGTTTATCACCACAAGCTTGGCTTTCCGTTGGTTTCATCTATCATTTAACACTTCCCGTACATTTTCATTTGTTATTCACATCACTTGTCACTGATCGATCGCTGCGTTCCATCACATGCAGATTCTCTTTTCCTCTGTTTGTGTCTTTAGTGTAGTTAAGTGACTTGTTTAAACAGACTCCTTTTATACTTACAACACTAAACCTAAAAACCTGAAACTATAGCAGATGACATAGTACAACGTGTTATTTCTGTGGGGCACAGCTACAAAGACTCTGCAGCCAGCTGCTGCTCCGGTTTGATATTGGCTGGTTGGTAAGGCAGAAGCAGAAACCCTAGCTTCTAATCCACAGTGAGTCAATTCAGAGCTGAGCTGGTCGCAGCTCATCACCAAATATCAGCTTGTTTCTTTTTTTCTTGTCATCTTTGTTGCTGAACTGACTTGGCATATTTTATTGCAAGTTTTTTTCCTTCTTTGACTGCTCATTACTCATTACTTTTCTCTTTGTCTGCTCACTCATGGTAGGTATTCAATTCGATTCAAAATGCTTTATTTCTCCCTTAAAGCCCATTATTTAAGGTGAGCTGGTTTGCAAGCATAAAACCACGCAAAACAATTCATTCACACATATACACAACACAATAACACATACAAATCTGAGTGTAAAGATTTAAGAAAAGTGATGACCAACAGTTTCCAAGACCATAAAGGCAAATTTTATCAGTGCACAGACAGCGTTCACTGACCATCACTTTAATTAAGGATTTTCACAAGCCTTTCGGCTTCTGCAATAAAACCAAACATCCTTATATTGGTTTTACATGCAGGTAATGTAAAAAGCAATTATGGAATTAGCTTGAAGAATTCATAAAGAATATGTGTGAGGTCACTGATAATCATATTTACCTTCTTAAGGACATGTTCAGTATTATGTGAGAAAGAGACCTGTGGTTTACCAATAGTTTTGGAGCTGAGGTTAATGACACCTTGTAATTAATTTTGACAAAGGAATGTAAAGCAGCTGTCATTTGGTAAAATGATCATTTCTGTGGGCATGGATACATTTAAATCTAATCTAATGATCTATAGCTGTATGGGCCCATGTGATTTATCTGACAAAGAGGAGATGGAAGAACACTGTCATCAACACATTTCACAATATGGAGATATTTGTATTTATTATGTCAATCATCTGTATATAAGATAAAAGAATAAGGGAGAACAAGGATACAGCCCTGGAAGCTGGTAGGACAAAGGATTTGAATGCTAGACCATTTATGACCTCTAAGTTCTGTTGGTGACAGAAAACTGATAATCCATCTGATGAGTTGATGATCTAGCAGTGATCTATACACACCAGGACACACATGCACCCATGATGAGATGGGATACATATTCTGCTGCTTGTTTTCTATTCCACTAATTGACAGTTGGTGGCGGTAACGCAAGAAACATAGAAATGTGCCTTACAAGGCAGTAAAGAAAACTGCCAGCTAATAAACAGGGTGTAAACAATGTGGGAATTAAAGAATTCAAAGAATCGAATTACTATGGCAAGCCATTTTCAAATTTATTCCATAAAACTTACTAGTCGCTATTTTAAAGCTACTATGACTTATTTACTAGTTACTAGTAACTATTCCATTAGCTACTAGAAACTATTCCGGTTTTACTAGTAACAACTGATTAGATCAAAGACTATTAAACTATTAAAGACTATTAGCAATTTAAAAAAAACAGAGTCGGATCTTTCACTCATGTCTCGAGTGTTGCATAGTTTTCCCACCAGAGGGCGCTCTGCAACTCCCCTGATAACCTGGCTGCACCACAACACAATCAGCTAGCTAATGCCATGTTTATCAGTGGAAGAGCGCTAACGTTAATGAGCAGTTAAACTATAGTGTTTCTAAATATAATCTAAATATATCTGCGAGTCGCTTGTCTGTAGTTACAGTCGGTACGTTGGAAACGATTAAACCAGAGGGGACATGTAAATAAACGTGAGCTGAACAAGTATCTAAAACAGCTTCCTGCCATACAAAGCTATCTGGCTCCTCTTTCAAATGTGCAACACGTGATATCCATAGGTGAAATCTCAAATTTGAAGGTCCTTTTGTAGACAGTCATGTAGTATTAGATGCATTCAAGAGCAGTGTTTCTCTGGCTCACTGTATCATAAACGGTGGTTGAAAAAATTGTGAATCTTTGGATAGAATTAAAGAGTGCTGGTAATGGGATAAATGTGAATATGCTACACTGACAATAGTCCTTGTGGCAGATTATGAGGTAATAACTACATGACAAATAATATATTGCCCATCTGGGAGAGCCCTGTTTATCATTATAATGTAATATAATAATTGTAATGACATGATAAATATATAGTATTATTATTATTGTTAGTACTAGTAGTAGTATATTAGTATTATATCATTTATAGCTTCTGTTCGGCAGCCCCACACAATTGGTGACATACACTATTTCTTTTAATGTTCATTAGTTGTAGTACTCTATAGTTTACAATGAATCTTTAAATATTTTTGTAGTTTTGACTCTTATTTATCAAAACTTTAATATATTTTTTGTTGTACTACTGTGTACTCATTTGTGCATTTTGTTATGTTATCTTGGTGAGGTCTCATAACAACAAATGTTAGGAATTATCTTTGTTCATGTTGTTTGTTACTGAAAAGAAGGGGGAAAAAATAATATCGGCATGTCGGATATTAAAATCCTCAAATATTGAAATCGGTATCATTAATCACTTCCCTCTTGTGTGTTTAAGACTGTGTCATCCCGCTGTTTAGTGTTAGTCGTCTCGTATATTGTCAAGGGTTGCTGTTGCCTCTTGTGTTCTCTTCCCGTGTTTCTTGACTTCTTTTCGGATTTATGGACTTATTATTTATGGAGATTATTACCTGTGCCTTTTGGATTTGGTTTCTGCCTGCCTCCTTGTCATTAGTTCTGCAGGAATTTGGTCAAGAGATGAAAAGTCAAAAGATCACCAGAGTTTTACAATTAATCTTATTAGGGGACATGGATACCAAAGACACAGAAAAAGAAATGTGAACCTCATGGTGGCACTAGAAGAAATGTCAGGGGATCACCAAAGTTGTTAGCATTCATCGGGACAATTAAATTTATTGACAATGATTTTTTCAGCTATTTCAGTCTGGTCAAAGGTGGACCAACACGCCAACATTGCCATCACTGGAGCCACGCAGCTTGTATTGCTAAAAATTCACAGTAAACTATGTCATAATTGTTTGTAATTGTGAAAAAGGGTCTGTTTTTACAGTGTTTAGAATAATAACCTGTATCTGCAAAAAGATCACTGTCATATGAAGTACAGCCTAATGAAATTGTAATAAAGTGACAGAATTACAGCACTTGAATAAATGCATGCTTTACAACCCAACTGGATAGATGTTCAATCACTATTGCACTGCCACAGAGGGAACCAACATTAACATTTATTCATATGAAAATGTCACACATTATTGCCTTGATACAAAATAAATCCTCTTTTTGGGGCCAATAAGAAGAGGGGGTAGACTGT